GAATACTGCTTTATTGTTTTAAGTACTGTTAACTAAATAAAAATTTTTAAATTCCAGGATTACTATCCTTCCATGAAAGAACAGCAGTTGGATTTTTATGTGAATTATATAGTTTTGTTTTATTTTTCTTTAAAACCTGTGAATTATCAAGTTCAGGGAGAAAGCATGATGTGCAAAGAGCATGGGCTTTCACGCCAGACAGTGCTAGATTCAATTTCTAGCACTTCCACTTGCAGGCAATGCTGTATGTGGGTCTTTGGCAAGTTATTTAACCCCCTGGAACTTTTGTTTCTTCATCTGTAAAAAGGTAATACAGGTTCACTATCCCTTATCCAAAATCCTTGGAACTAGATGTGTTTTGGAATTCAGAATTCTGGGAATTTTTAGGAGGGGAACATACCCCAGCAGGGTTTGGGGCCCAAAAGTTGCAATCAAATACCTTAATATTAAATATGAATAGTCATACTAAGTGGGATTAATAAAGACTATAAATAGCCTCACATTAGTTCAAGTTAAATTTTGCCATTTCATTTCCGAAGGATTGCACAAATTAAAAAAAATTTTGCCATCAAATCAGTTCAGGTCAGGTGAGGTTTTGCCTCCAAATAAGTTACAAAAAACACTTTCGATTTTCAGAGCTTTATGGATATCGGAATTTCGGATAAGGGATTATGGACCTGTACTTCCCTTATAGGGTTGTTATGAAGATTTAAACAAGATAAGCTGAAAACACATTACGCAATACTGGGTAGGTACTCAATATTAATTTAAATATTAATTTTTTTTCTCTTGGACATGTTAGTTTTTGTTCATTTGTTTTTTAATTTATAGTTCTGGGATTGTCATTCTTTTCCTGAGAAGAAGCTATTCCCTTAAATCTTATGATGATATTAGAGAGGGGCTAGAGGCTGAGACTTGAGAATGCAAGGGATGGGATGAGAAAGATAGCAAGAGGTGAGGCTTAGAGCGTGGCTTTTAGTAACCAGTCTGGATTTCTTCCAGGTAGGTTTTCAAAATAACTGTAGAATGAACTTTTAACTGGTGGGGAAGTCATGCTCTAACTTCTCTAGAGTATTAAAAGGAAACCTTGTGAGCCTCTTGTCACTGCTTCTTTGTCCACAGAGTGATAGAAGGAAGTCAAGGCACCATTATGACTCGGATGAGAAATCAGAAGCAAGAGAAAATGGTGTTGTGGATAACCTGGATGCTCCCAAGCCCAAAAAAGCTAAAATGAAAGAGAAGCTAAATGGAGACACTGAGGAAGGATTTAATAGACTTTCAGATGAATTCTCTAAATCTCATAAGTCGAGAAGAAAAGATCTACCAAATGGAGATATTGATGAATATGAAAAAAAATCAAAGCAAGTATCGTCCTTAGATAGTTCTACTCATAAATCAAGCGATAATAAACTGGAGGAGGTATGGATAGTTTTATTTTGCATTTGACATCATCCTCGAAATACAGGCTGATTTGATTTTTTAGGCTAATTAGAATTGATTTTGTAACATTTCCTGCTTAGGGTTCAGTACTCTCAGTTGGACTGGAGAGTCGCTGTAGAGCTGAAGCCTGACTCTTTTTCCTTTGGCCCTTGTTCCTTTCATTGTATTACCTTTTTCTTGGTGTGAGAGTTGGGGAATAGTCAAATTTAAACCCTTCCTATACAGTTGGATTCTTAAACCGTTTTTCTCAATTGCTTATTGATAGTCATCTACTTGTATTTCTTATGGTTATTTCAATCCCTACCAGTACTTGTGAATTGAGTTCTGACTTCCTGCAACAAGGTACAGAAATCTTCTTGACTTTGTATATTTTGCCTTCTGCTTTTTCTGCTTCTGTAACAATAGCGACGTTAAATGATCTTAAGGTCTTAACTGTGTCTCAGTGTAAAGCTGTTTGCATTTTTAAAACAGGAATAAAACATAAAAATGGGCAGTTGCTCATGCCTGTAATCCTAACACTCTGGGGCAGGAGGATTACTTGAGGCCGGAGTTCAAGACCAGCCTGAGCAAGAATGAGACCATCTCTACTAAAAATGGAAAAATTAGCCAGGTGTTGTGGCATGGGCCTATAGTCCCAGCTACTCCGAAGGCTGAAGCAGGAGGATCCCTTGAGCCCAGGAGTTTGAGGTTGCAGTGAGCTATGATCCTGCCACTGCACTCTACCCAATACGACAGAGTGAAACTCTGTCACAAGAACGAAAAGCCATAAAAATGATCTAAAGAAATTTGTCCTCCTGGGTATTAATTTTTTGGAAGGTACAGTAAACATGCTTACTGTAGAATCTGTACTCCTGGCCCACTGCTTTTGCCAGTAACTGTTAGAGTAGATATTTTCTTGTACAGAATTTGTTAAAAAGTATTTCGTAGTTTTCCTATACCAAAGTTCACAGGTTTATCTAC